CATTTTTTTAATCGAGGGGCCACTGATCCCGAGGGGCGACCGGTCACCTGTGCACATCCTGTGAAAAAAAATTTTTATCCTGAATTAATACCGAATCAGTTATCCATTGCTAAAGGGATCATTACAATCGAATTAATTTCATACAAGAACCAGTTGTAGAACATGAATTTTCATTTCGATATCTTGAAATTGTATTTTTTATTTTTTACTCACCCAATTGGAAAATCGGACTGAAAATCTAGATCAAAAGACGACTTCAGAGTGACAGTGAATGGAATTTCAAATGATTATGAAAATATAACGTTTCAGTGAAATTTCCAAAAATTTATAAGTTGAGAGTGGAAGGGGAATTAAAAATGCAATCCCACTGGATTGATTGAGGTTTCACGCGGATCATGAATGTTCTTGAACGGATTCTCATAAATTACGTTTTTCAAAATATTATTGATTTAATATCATGTCCAATACTTCAATTGAAAAGATATTTTATTGATTATCTGATTCATCTACCAGAAAGATGTTTAAGCATTCAATTTATCAATCGCATTTATCTTAAATAAATTATTGCAAAAAATATTGTGTAATATTCAACTTCCACGATATTTGATTTTTCAATGAAACTATGAATTTTCAGTGACGTAAACTTTCCTGGAAATTATTACTTAAATTTCCAAAATTTTCAGTTTTTAGTGCAGTAACCTAATTTTATAATATAAGAACAAGAAAGAAAATTGATCGCGAAACATCTAAAAATTTTTGAACTATTTCGAATGATCGTAAGACAGACCCGACCGACCAGTTTTGAAAATTCCAAAAATGACGAAAATTTGGGAATCATCCCGGAAACTCATGAGGACGACAAATGATTGAAAAAATTCCCTAGAAATTTCCCATGACTTTCTCATTGTAAAAAATTTCCCGTCCAACTCTTTATTGTTGTATAATCCACTCGTACAATAATTGAAAAACAAAAATTAGCCAATTTAATGGCGAAAACTGGCAACGATTAGCCGAAAAACTTTGCCGCAAAAACCTGTCCCCGAACCTCACCATAAGATCATGACTCACCCCAGATGGATTTAACCCTTCACCGGTTCTTCACTGGATTGTCCACGCGCGATGTTGCCACCAGCCCCATTCACTTTTTGTTCCTCCTTTATTATCATGAATTTTTTTCCTCCCATTGCCGTTATAACAGAATTGGTGACCAGAGTTTGTACCCAACCCAATTAGAGTCGTCCCATTGTTAGCACACGTGGTGTGCACGAGCCATGCACATCGCAGTGCGGTAGACAGTTGAAAGGTTGACAGGGGAAAAAAAATATTCAAAAATAATATGAATTTTTATTTCCACCGAGTAAAAGAGAGAAATCAAATTCAATATTGACAAGTTGTCGACAACACGAGCTAAATATTTCATCTACCCGTCAAACTTTTGCCTCGAATATATTAATTCACACGTTGACTCGAGCCCCATGCTCTTCCGATTTTTTTTTTATTGTGTCATGCATCCTGAGCCGACGGGGGAAGATATGTGTCCGGTACCCTCCGGATAGCCAGAGGCGTCACCGAAAATTGCTCGTGAATTGGTACTATCTCCGGTCTTTCTCACACAATCCCCCATTTTTCCACATCTCCCTCGTTCTCTTATTCCTGACTTCTGGTGGTAAACCCGGGGACATAAAAATGATACACGTTCCAGTCGGTATTATTTCACCGAAGAAATACATTTTAGAAAAGATAAGAGAGTAAAAATGTTTCATAATCTCAAAAAAAATTAGCTTCAAGATAAATTCAATTGGTTACGATAGACTAATTTATATCTTCATTCTTCCTCTCGAATTTTTCATCTGACGAAAGCGCGAGAGATTGGTTTTGAATTTTTATACTCATACGACAGCGAATAATCTCCTCCGATCGTCTGACTCTTTCATTTCTCCATTAATTTTGCTCCTCGTCTCATATTTGTTTCAGTCCCTGGTAAATTCTTTTTTTTTCTTCTCTCGTCGTAAGACTTAATGGTTTCTCTCGCCGAGTCTTTGCGGTCAACGGCTGAGGCCCTCGTGACTTTTGCACCGGAGATCCTTTGAGATCCACAAAATTCCCCTCACCTCCCGGTGGTGACGATTCCAACCGCAAGAAGAAGAGACTCGCTAACGTTCATTGCATTTCACTGTTTAAAGAAGATGCATCGCTACGACTCAACAATTTCACCGTCGCATTACCCCATTTTCATTCATTTTTTCAGCCACGAATCGCAGAAAAAAAAGCTGATCCAACCTGAAATTTTAAGCGCTCCTCACCCGAGATCTCGTCTTTTTGATTTTCATTTAGTCCTGATCAATCCAGTCATGTCGATAATTCTATTCATCGACGATTGCTTCCGAATGGAAGCATTGTAATCGTTCTATTTTTCGATTTCTTAATTTTGCTTGGAAACGATGTAGAATAGTCTGAAACGTAAAAATACGAAGTTTGACCACCCCGTGTGTGCGAATGTCCATCTGGTGGTCACGCTTTTGAAAATGGTAGAATTAACCGGTTCAAAAAATTCAGAAAAATTCGTCCTTCCATCGAATCATAGGTATTTATGACGACTAACTCTGTGCCAAATTTCAGCTCAATCGATCCAGCCGTTTTTGAGAAATTCTCATTCGTTTGTAGATCTAATTTCTGGAATATCTCAAAAAAGATCCAACCCATATGATTCTTTTCTCTTTCAAAATATTCGTCTTGGTGTGGGCTATAATAAGCAATCAGAATATATATTCCGCTTGGTTCAAATAAAAAGCTGAGAGATTACAAGTATTCCATTCGGAAGCCAACCCTCAATGAAATTGATAGCAAAATTAAAAAAAAATAAAAATGAAAAAAAAATAACTAAATAACATGTGAAGTAATAATCGCATGTCTTCTACCGTTAGGAATGGCCAACTGCTTGTTTTAATTACCCGTCATTTTTTAATTAGCGTCCTTGTTATAATATATTATGTTAAACATTTAATTATTTCATTAACTTGGCAAATTTCCACTATTCACTTGCGTTCAAATATTCGTTTTGGGCGACAGATTTTTTTGGCTCGGTGAGACCCTGAAAAATGGCGCTTGTTCTAGGTGCCTCTAGTTTTATCTCTTCGCTGTTCGAATTGATTTCACCATTCGAAAAAAAAAACATTGCATTCCCCCCTGAACATGAAAGCCGGACGTGGATCAAGGAATGATGCGGGAGTGCACCTGGAATGAAGAATTTTTACCCCTTCCTCGGAATTGATGCAAATGGCTCCATAAGCACAAGCCGCAAACAAAGTGCATACGTCGCATACATTGGCCAATCGATATTTTAATATTGTGACAGTGGCCAAAGAGCATGAGAGATTAAAGGTCCTCCGCACGCTAACTTGCCCCAAGGCATCAAAAAAAAAATTGTTTTATCAAATTATGTGATGGTACATTCGTTTTAATTACGAGGATTGGATTAACGTCGGGGTTTCATCACCGCAAGCGTCAAACAATGAAGGTCAACACACGGATAAAAACATCGGCTGAAAAATTACCGAAAAAATGACTGAAACGCAAGCTGACAACATTTTGAGAATATTTTCAGGGCCGAGTCCCAACTAGATAAATGAGATAATCCATTATTTTTTTTAAAACCGGAAAAATAAATAAAACATTGAATTTTAAAAACAAATAATCCCGGAAAAAATGAAAAATCAAATGAGGCCGTAAAATTTTAATTCAATCCGCTTTTTAATTTTTTTTCTCCAACTCCCACGTAATTTTTAATAAAACCGTGAATTACCGTAATTTCTGTGACACCTGAGGAGAAAAAATTCGGTGTCTCAGTAAAAATTCTGAATTCAAATCCAAAGGCTCATTCGAAGACTCCGCGGAATTTTCGTGGTTCCCTCTGATTTTAGCAATAAGTATATCTCTCCGGTGAAACTTAAACTCGACCTTTACTCCATCTTTCCTCCTCGAAAATCAACTCGGGCGTAAAAACGAAATGGTGAGGGGTGAGAGTTAAAGTGGAGTATGAGAGGGAAAATAACCAAGGGATGATGGTCATCCGAGGTCTTTGAATGCTCAAACAATGCAATTCCAAGCGATTAGCCCTAAACTTCTCTCTCACTCCCTCCCAGCTAATTTGCTGAGCAATTTATAGGTAAAATTGCCCGGCACCCATGCATGTACCCAGACAAAAAGTTCAACTCAAGAGTGAGTGGGAAAAAAAGCCTTAAATAGTCTGTCGCACCACTGGAATCATTCGATTCACAACTGGTGAAGATAGTAGTTTTCATCATTCCCGAGAGCTTTTGTACAAAAAGAACTGGTGAACGAGGAGATGAGAGAAAAATAATCCTGAGGGATGGCTAGCCGTGAGGTTTGCATATGAAAGACTCTACCCCGGAGAATCGATACACCTTTATTATACCCGAGCACTTGCTTATCTCCTTTTACTCGGCAGCAACAATCTCAAAAGCCCCTCTTCCAACAGCTCCCAACGTCCAGCCTCTGTCTCCAGGGAGAATTCAGTTTAAGATATCGCCCCTCCACCTTCAAACATCTTCTTTTAATTCGCAATGGACACTAACGCATCGAATTTAATCCCGATGAATTGATGACAAACTTATCTGAACCTTCACCTCAATTAAAATTGCTCCTTCGTGACTTCTCCAACGCTCATTCACCCCAGCTCCTCTTCTCGTCTTTTTTTCTTCTCTCTTTTTAAACTCACCCCGTATCCTTCATTACAAAGTATCTCAAGACGACTAAAGCAAGAATTTCCAATACACCCGGACGAAAGTCTCCACTCCGTCCTCGTTCTTCATTCTCAACCCTCTTCCTTTGTCACTCGAATTAATTTCTCCTAAAACTCAAAGGTTCACAAATGAGAATAGCGCAAACAAAACCCGGAAATTTACCTCGCGATTATTTTTCATTATCAGAGATCAGTCCAGCATAGTGCGAAGAGATTGCACTATTCACCCTCAGCCACGAGAGAAAAGAAAAGAAACATAAAAATTGAAAGCAAAAAAAAAAGCAGTATGAGGGGTGCTGCTAACACATGCTCGTCCTCGGACTCTCTGCAGAGAGTTAAGGGTATCGAAATTTAAATAAAAAAAGGGAAAAAAAAAAGTAGAAAAAGACGATTGTGGACACCCCGCGGTCGCACATGCTACACGTATCCCGCACATTCGGCCAGAGGGTGATTGTGGCGTGAGCACAATGTCGTGATCTCGGAGCGTGAAAAATGGGTGAAAATCTGATATTCCAGGATTAAAAACATTGAAATTCAAAACCCGTACGACCCCGCGCCCACTTGGCCATTCCATATGCCCCTCGTCTGTCTGCATCCCTCGGTGAAGGCACGAAAAGTCGTTAAGGGTCAGTTTCACAAGTTAACCCCCCAACCCCCTTTCTTGTCCCACCCCGAGGATTATCGAAGATATTATATTTGAACCCACCCTCACTCTTATCTATCTTTATCCCTGAGAATTGGAGACAGGCGTGTCGTTTAAATTCCGAATTCAATTGGCGAGAGGCAATTTGGCATGAAAGATTAAGCGATACGAATCCGAGAAAAGATTGAAGGGTATATTTTCACCGGCGGTCAATCATCCCAGTTGTTCTACCGAATGCTCCTATAATAACGTGACATTCTCTCTTGATGTTTCAGAGCCAAGATGTCTGCCCTGCTCTCAGTGCTCACGTCGTTTGAATTCAGCTTGGGATTTGATCCAGCACGCCCAGAGTGCCCACGGTGCTAGATTATACGGTACATCAAGTTCAACGGTGAATTCCTCATCGAATACTCCAACCCCAAGTCCACCAACGCCAACACCCAGTCACTCGCACCACCTGAGTCCCCCAAATCACCTGAATCTCAGTGCAAAGTCAACAGGCAGTTCATCAGCGGCAAACTCATCGGGTGGTACAAATACAAGTGGTAGCAGTGGTAGACAACAGTTGCAATCGTCAGCCTCGTTAGTCGGTGATCCACTGCACAGCTTTCTTAGATTACCCCAACACCTGGAGAGGAGTTTTCCACCCATGTTCAGGCCCGATTTTTTGGCGCTCAATCCACTGGCTGGTTATCGTGGCCTTCAGGACCTCCAGACAGCCACCAGAAATCTTCAGAATCTCGGTGATCCTCTGCGTGGTATGGATGGTCTCAATCTCGGTGATCCACTTGTGAGAAGTTCCCTGGATTCCCTCAACAACGCAAGAAATCTAGCCAATCTAACGGAATTGTCACACGGTAGGTTATCAAGTCAGGGTCACCCACCACAACTCGAAGCGAATCTGGATTTTTATTCGGCGCGCCTAAGGAGCCTCGCTAACCCAACCTTAGGCGCGACGCCTAAGGACGGGTTTCCACCACCTAATACGTCATCAGTGCTACCACTTCAGCAATCACAGCAGCAGCATCAAACAGATTCATCTAGTCCTGCTTCAACGAATCCAACAAATTTGGCGCATGCTCACTCGCAGAAGGAAAATTCACCACCTTGTTATACACAGAGTCCTCTCGGTCATCACAACAACAATAATTCAACGGACAGTGAAAAGACTAGTCCACCAGCGATATCAACGCCGATAATGAACGACACAACCGAGACAGTGTACACGTGCGAGGTGTGCGACAAGAAGTTTCGCTTTCAATCGAATCTCATTGTTCATCGTCGGAGTCATCAGGACAAGGAGAGACAGTTTCAGGATACGAGGGATGGATTGGGTGTTGCAAGGTGCGAGGTCTGTGAAATTGAGCTGACGAATTCCACTGAATTGCGGAGACACATGAAGAAAGAGCACCAGGAGTCAATGAGTGCAGCTAGTCCACAGGGTAGTGTCGAGACGGTGCTTGACGATGGCTCGAGCTGCGACGAGAACATGGATCTCGACGATGCTGATGATAATGAGATGAAAAATCGTGAGGACACCGAGGAAAATACACCGGAGGACTTGAGCACAACGCAGGGCCAGAGTAGCGAAGAGTGCAGTGGCAGAGCTGAAGCTAAACCGAGCTTAGTCGGTGACCTCATGGAGAAGTTTGGCCTTAACAACATAGCTCAGTACTCGGAGGCTTATCGGCAAGCACTCCAGGAGAATCACCGCGGTGGTTTGATTAAAACAGAATCCCCCTCGAGTCTCACCAACTCCCTCAATAACAACAAGGAGAAAGACAGTGCATTATCACCGACAAACTTCAACTCATCAGCAACAGCCAATATATTTTCCGGCCAGGGATTTCCGCGAACTGGACCGGACTTTGGTGGTCTGTGGTTACCAAGCCCCCATTATCTCGAGACCAATGAATTTCGAAAAGTATCAAAAGCAACGACATCTAGCCTGACACTTCAGGGTCTACCGAGTCCTTTAATGAAGAAAGAGAGAAGCGGTAGAAACGATACGTGTGAATTTTGCGGCAAGGTATTCAAAAATTGTTCAAATCTCACTGTACATCGACGATCTCACACCGGTGAAAAGCCTTACAAGTGCGAATTGTGCTCTTACGCGTGTGCACAGAGCTCAAAGCTAACGAGACACATGAAAACACACGGTAGACATGGAAAGGATACATACAAGTGTCGCTTCTGCGAGATGCCATTCTCAGTGCCAAGTACCCTGGAGAAGCACATGAGGAAATGCGTTGTTGTTGTGCAACAGGGGCCAAAAATAGGTCTACCTTATCCTGGTAGTCAGGATGAGGACTCCTCGTTGAGTACCAAGGACACTTGATCCTGGAATGGCAGCCTACAGCAACCAATGCCACTAATACCGCCCATACCATCACTGTGGCCGCACAGGCCGCCATATCCAGTCTACTGAATCAAGCCGATCATCTGGTAATGATAGGTAATCAGGATGATACCTGATAATACCATTCACGAGAAGCAATATTACCAATTCATTCCCACTCGCACTCGAGCACTCGAGCACTTGAAAATAAATTCAATAGTGTTTAGTCGAGTGTTCCCTCGGGAGTTCCCCTTTAACCCTGAGACATTGATTAACATTTTTTTAAATTAAATCAACAAAATTAAACAGGTTGATGAATAAAAAAAACGTTACCACTGAGAATTCTCAGGATATCTCGAAAGAGCGAAACCAACCTCAAAATTATAACCACTATAAATAGTTATAAATAACTCAATCCAAACACGTACATGTGAATATAAATACTGAATATAAATAAAGAATCAATATATAAATATATAAATACGAAGGTATAAATACAGATATAAATATATACATAGGGATTTTAAAGAAAATTACACGGAAAATAGTGAACTTTATTATCGCATTGAAGATTATTTATTTATTAATATATTGTACGACTTAATATATTGTGAGGGAGTTATTTACTCTTCGCGATACATGAGTATGAAAAAGACGTATTAGGAGGGGAAGATTTTTTTTTTTTGTTTGTAAATTGACGAGTGGTCCATGCGAGTCCATTCGTTGGCACTTGTACTTGTGTAAAATGTATAATAATTATTATCATTCTCATTATTCATTATTATTACATTTTTATTATTAGTATATTATGTTTATTACTTGTGTATTTGACTTTATGGGCTATTATTATTACTATTATTATTACCATTATTATCATTCATTATTATATCGCTGTGAGAATTGTGAGCAACTCACGGCGTTAACATTTATTTTATTTCGAAAGAACTAAATTACTTATTATTATCGGTGAAAAAAAAAAAATTTTGAAAATGAAAAAAAAAATCGTTTGTTTTCTGAGCGGTTAAGGAAGATGCCAAAGTTGTCTAGGTTTATCGTTTATCTCCTATTTATTCAGATGACGGGGTAATCACGAGGTCAATGCATTATTCCAATTGTTCATCCGGGATATTTTATATTCGTCAGTTCATTTATTTTCTATTTGTAAATACTCTTATTATCCTCGTCACTTTCATTTCAAACAGACGAATAAGATTTTTCTTCCCATTCTCCCGTTGAAGACTGAACGTACGTTTGCTAAATGATTGAATCGTTTTTCTCATATTATTTCCATAATTGTAAGTAGAGTATCGTGGTTTTTCCCCCCCTCGTTGTAAACGTTTTCGGAGAGAACTGTTCCTAAAAAAAAATTTAGGCAATAAGACGATAATTGATACCCGTGCAAGTGTGATTTTGAGAGAAACGAGCGATTGGAATTGATTGAGCGATTGGAAATGAGACGAAAAGTGGAATTAAAGAATAAAAATTAAAAAAAAAACACTCATATCATAGTTTTTTCGATGTTAGACATGAATGGTTTTAGATAAAAAATTTTAAAGTATTTAAAAAAATAGGAAATAAATGAAAAAAAAATCCAATCATGCATAAAGAGAAATACACGCAATCTCGTTATCATTTTCAGGAGGATGGGGTGATTTGTTACGTCATTCTGAGGTACATACACGTCAAACAATGTTATGTAAACTCGATCATGTATTGTACATAATAGCACTGCCCGCAAGCACAACACATACGCAAGAAACGGGAGCAAGCACATGGTCCTTTTAACCTACACCTGATTTTTAATCACACGAATAACGATTAATCGAATACTTGAGCTTATTAACAGAGGAAAAATAAATAAATTATAGATGAAAAATTAAAAGACACGAGAAATTCGACGATAATCTCCCTAGAGTGTCTCGCTATACCCCAAATTATAAATATTTATCATAATTATCAGTAAAAGTTGCTCCTACTCTTCCTCCTCAGATGCCGGCAGTTTTAGTTTGTACTTGAGAGAAAAAAAAATATATACTTGAGATGAAAAATGTCACGAATAAAACTTTGTGTTATCATTTTTCCACGAAAACTTCTTTTTTTATTTCACACTTTGATAAAAAAAAAATACCCAGTACCCATCCCTCCCCACCCCAATTTTTCATACTAATAAACAATATTCTCCGCGTCGTCGAAGACCCGAGGAAGTGAAAGATAAATGACAAATGCCCTCGCTCAAACCTTCGACGGCGTTTTTTTACACAGGGTAAATCTATAAAAAGTGAATATTCAAAGAGAGATAAAGTGAATTTAAAAAAAAACCGTAGAGTCACAAGGACTAAACTAGAATACGAGATAAAACTGGTAATTCGTGTATAATAAAGTGAGCGAAGAAGTTAATATACGACGAAAGAAAATAAAGTGGTTGAATGGAGATAATTGTAGAAAATGACGAAAGAATAATCGAACCTAGTGAAATGAATTATGTCTAAGTTCAGGGTAATTAATCCAAATCTAAGTTAGATCTAGGAGAATACGTAAACCTGGATTACGATACTTAGTGGCTATAAATAGCTGACAAAAAATAAAAATTCTCTCTCTGTAATTTTTAACAAAACTACCAACTCCATGCGTTCGAGACTGGAGTAATGAAAAAATAAAAAATAAAAATGAATAAAATCGCGTTAAGTCCTGTTGGTCTGACAAGTTCTTTCCCAAATCAACAATTTTAATGATAAAAAATAAACGGATACGGTGTATGTCTTGTGCGATTATCAAATAAACGAACAATTGTTTTTAAAAATCGTTTGATTATCTCACCTTACCATCCCAATCACTCGAATTACCCCCGATAATTTAAGAATTAATTGACTAGCGCCATCGCTAGTGAAACTACGAAACTTGTTGCTGTGGTGCCCCAATCGGTCGTGTCAAATTTAGGGGTACGTTTATTCCACTGCATCCCCCCAATGAATATTTGGTCACCCCTGGGATAAGCTGGGGGACAAGATGAAGGGACCAGTTCTAGATAATTCATATATGCTGGTAATTCCTGATTATTCCGTTCACCGAGAAACTCTGGCCGGAGGGAAGTCCCGAGTGCTCATTATTCACGCGCCTCACAAAAATTGACAAATTATTTCGCTTAATTCTGCACAGAGTAATTCATCACCGCTTGTCATCCCCTACACCCTGGATTACGCCAAATATATTTTTCCCCGAGGGCTAAATAATATCACCGTAAATACACAGAACAATCGCTGTCTGATATAATTTGTCTGGGACCGAACGTTTAATACAAAACCGTCGTGATAAGGGAGGGAACGCGGGGGGGAGGGAGGAGGGTACGAAGATAATTAATCTATATAGTACATGTAATGCAGCAGGAGCCGAAGTTAGGACAATGCCGGTTAATTTTTGACCGGCATCTATTGTTTAACAGGGCACATTCATCCGTCAAGTGCCTTCAGACGTGCCTCTTGTTCAATAAGAGATAGAACGTATGACTGACAAAAGGTGAATATTCCTACAACTCAGTTAATAAAAATTCATCACAATACCACTGACAACAATTAGCCCAATGATTTTTATGGGGTTTTGTCGTTGAGGTATTAGAGTTTCGCCTCAGATGATTATGGAATTTCGTGCAAGTGCATCTGTTGTGCATTGCCCATTCGGTTTTGATATGCGTTTTGGTTGCGGTGATGTCACCACAATGGCGGACACTAATTTACATGTCAGAAACAGAAGTTGGAAGCCCAACAACACCACGACGTACACTGTGATCTGTCGGAGCTGTTTTAAGGTTGATATGCGTCAAACAGGTACCGCCCTTGGTTGCCGTATTGAACAAGTACTGGAGAACTCGAGCACTCCTTTGTTCTTGAAAATATTTTTTTTACCTAATTACTCGTTATCGTCGTCAGGTGGGGTGGATTTCGCCGATTAATTTTTACGTTACTGTTGCGTAATTTTTGGGGAATTTTTTTCCCGCGTGAAATGAGAAATTAAAAAATTGAAAATCAGATGTTTTTAGGTTTTTTATAATTGTATTATGTACAGGAAACATATATAAAAGATTATATAATAGAGTGAACAATCATATTGAACAATTTTTTTTTACTTTGTTAAATATTCTATTTATCGAATACACAACTTAACTAATTATATTAATTAAGTTAATTGTAATGACAAGATAATTTTATTACGTTCATATACTTGTCAACTAAATTAGTACTTATAAATATATGAATACCTGCAAAAACAAAATTCATAAATAAAATATCGGAGTCAATAAAAATTAAATGCAACAGCTGTTTGTTGGTGCAAAAAAGAATTAATGATTTTGTTTCTTCAATTTTTCAATAGAGAAACTGGGAGTTATAAAAAGTGATAGAAGGAATCAACTGGAAGTCCGATAAGACCGTGCGAGTAAAGTTTTGAACATCGAAATTAGTTGACTGTTAAATGAGATAAGCAGCAAACATGACCGAAAACAATTGGAGCGGATTAGAAATTCGTGTTTTTCCCAGTCGAGTGATTTTCCAACACGGGGGATTAAATATTCATCGAATTTATTCCACTAACACTTATATAGACCACAGAGTGCCGATTTTTTTAAAGTTTCACTCATTTTATTTAATCCCTCAATATTAATCATTATTGAGAGAATAATTACTGACAACTAATGAACTAATTTCCCGAAATGACTCGAGAGGGAATAAAATATTATTAAAACTGAATCCTTCACTCACGCAAATGAACATGCGGGGAAAATATTTTTTTTCTCACTGCAATATCATCACTTATCACTCACTCTGATTTGCATTTCGGCTATTGAAAATTAAGTTTGTTTACTCGAGTTTCGCGAAATTGTTGCTCAGCTCTTTCCTTTAAGTTGACCTTCGTCTCTCAAAATTGTGACGCGCTTTTGCTATATTGAATTACTCAATTGATAAATTTATTTAATTATAACTCAAGTGTCAAGTGACTCATTATTCTTTGAATTAAATTTTGACCCTCTCATTTGAATTCCCGTAAACCTTTCGCATCTCGTCCATCGCTTAAAAATATTCCCGAAACTAGATCCCTCATCGAACATATGATATCATATTATTATATCCTGCACCTGGACAACCTGGGGATCATTACCCTGAAGATATCCCCCGAGAGAATATTTTCCTCTGCCAAGAATATCGATTGTTATTTTTTTTGTTTATTATTGAATTCAACGCGCTATTTAAGATAATTTTTTGGGAATTCCTGTAGATTTCAGGAATATAATGATCCTCTGCGCAAAATCTTCCACATATCACTGCATTTGGTGTATCGATGTCCCTCGTCCCTCGGGTCAGCCTTCGCCCAGGGATAAAGGGTGCGTCAGGCCAATGGTAGACGCTGGACAATCCACCCTACTCCATTGACCAATGGAGATAGCCGTTCCCATCTCTATCCTCAAGCATCCCCAGTTCACAGGATTTACACCCCAGCATTTAGACTGCAATGACCCCAACCCACCCCCACGTTAAAAGTACCAAAAAACAATTTCCCTTAAACAAATTAAAAATGCAAATAATATCTCATCTAATGAATTCTGCAATCCATCGAACATTTCCAGTATCCAATTACTCGGAGCATCAACGGACCCCTCGAATATTCTTAAATCCCTATAATCAACCCCTTGAAACAATAGAATCCCCATGCGGTGGGGCCCGAAAAGCTTATTTGCTGGATCGGTTCCTTTGCCGTATCCTAATAACAGGCAAATTCGGTGTCCATGAAGTCAAGGAGAGGTAGCTACCTAAGG